ACACTAAAACTGGTGGTACCAAAGTGACCAAAATAACCGATTCATAATTTTCCTTTTTTTTTTTTTCTTTTATTTATCAGAAATTTCATAGACATAAAACAGCGTACAGAAATTTAAATTTGTATTTCCCGCAGAATGTACAAATTTGCAAGAAATTTTATAGATATGGAACAGTATCTCTATAGATTTAAATGTACAAATCGAGGCATGTACATTCGATAGTACCGTAATGTATTTCTATCTGTTTGACCTAACTGTCTCTAATGGAAATTCTGTGCTTTAGTCGCCGGTGGTTTCTAGTGTCAACATTCCGATCTAACGTGCCCTGGTTTCGATTTCACTCGAAACGGGCACAGAGATTTAAATAAAATACGATTTATCGAGCAAACGTGTCGAAGTATCGTGTCGTAGGATCGACTGTCCCGTATCATATCACGTCCCGCGTTCGTCCCAAGATTCGTTGAAAAAATGTGCGTGGGCACACAGATATATTAAAAATGATCGACGATGAAATTTGTCGATCGAAAGAAACGAGGGGAAAGCGTTGCAATAACGGCGGATCAACGTTGTTTAATGGTATTAATTCGAGGGTAAAAATGTCGGAATTAGTTAGAATCGCTGAAGAGGTGTAGTAATAATCACCGCGGAAATGATCGGCGTTTGGCTTCGATCGAATCGAACGCGGGTATCGACGCGCGCTGGCACGGTCCTCGAGACCGAGAAAGAGAGTGTCCTCTTGAAACTTTTAATAAGCAACGTGACGTTGGTTCAACGTTCCACGGAACCTTCGACTCGTTTTCCCCGATCGAAGCTCGTCGATTCTCTTTCGATATTAATCGGCGGGAAGGGAGAACTCGCCCGTTGAAACTTTTCCTTCGAAGCGGAGCTTTCGAAGCTTCAAACCCTCCCTTCCACCGTGACAGCCTCGTTACATTCTAATCGAATCTGCTCGGATTTCAATGCGTCCGAGCGACGAGCGATTCTCGAAAGGCGAAACGAAAGACGATCGTACGATCGGGGGAAAATAAGACGAGGTGAAAATCGAAGGACTCTCTGTCGGTTGAGTTTACGATTAAAAGTAAAATTCGCAGGGAACAATATCGTATTTTAGAGATTAACGACTCGTACACTCGTCGACTGGCTCGTATTCTTCAGTTCGTATTTTTTTTTTTTTTTATCGTTTTGAAATGTATTTTTTTTTTTTTTTTTTTAATTTTCTAGCATTTGACGAGGCCGTGGAATGTATTTTTCTTGAACAAACTTTAATTTTTTAAACGAATGTCTGACTTGAAATCTAACGTAATTGAAACTGTAACCTAACCTAAGTTGATCAAAAATCTAACCTGAAACGTAAATTTTCTAACCTAAATTTTTTAAGAGATTAACAATTACGCCTATGTCCGGTCTTTTCTGAATTACGATGGATTAAGAAAGATATCTTTTATTACAATAATTTCTTATTGCATAAATATTCTACTGTCGAATCTTTTTGAATTTCCTGCGACATTTTGACAAGGAATGTATTTTTTTTAAACAAACTTTAATATTTCAAACGAAAGTCTAACTTGAAACCTGACCTAATTAAAATTGTAACTAACCTAACCTGATTGAAACTGTACCCTAAACCTAACCTAACTTAACTAAAAATCCAACCTAAAACCTAACTTCTAACATAAATTTTTTAACAGTTACGCCTATGACATGTCTTTTCCGAATTACGATGGATTAAGAAAGATCTTTTATTACAATAATTTCTTGTATAAATATTCCACTGTCGAATCTTTTTTGAATT